GTTGTAATGCTGTTCGTGAATTGCGGTCTTGTTTCAGTCAGAAGTTATGGGTAGTATTTGATCCAAGATCTTTCTTCTATTAAATCTATTCTAATCACTTCTTTTCTATTTGTTTTTAGGTTTTTTTACTGTATTTCATGCTTCTCTTGATCTTGTTGACCCTATATATTTGTTAAGCTCTTCGCATTTAATTTCCCAAGAAACATTTTTTGCTTTAGTTACTAGATGTTTTACTTTTCTGTTTGATTTTGCGTATATTCGTCTATCATCTGAGTCATATGTTTGTATCCACTTTTGATATGCTTGTTTCTTGTTGTGTACTGCATTAGCGATGTCATTTGTCCACCACAATGGAGTATCCTTTTTGTTTCTTTAGATCAGGTGTGTCCAACTTGTAATGCCTCAAGCGCCAAAACTAAAACCTTTGATGTTGTCGCGGGCCATATAATAATTTTGTTACAAGTAATAACAAAATAAAGTGAGGTATAAAAATAATTAAAACAAAAAAGAGTATTATTTCTTTTATTGCTCAACAACTACATTTTTTTATAAACGGAAAATTTATTGATAACACTTTTCAATAATCAAGACAAACATTGCAAAAGCAACGAAAAAGATGTATCCAATTAGTGTGAGGACTGTGGTCGATCGGCTTCATCCATCAATGAAGAAATGTACACCACCAGTTCAGTTGTAGACACTCTCATAAGATGACGTAAGGAAGAATCGGTAAGGTTGCTTCTGTTTTTATTTTTTATGTATTTCATGGAGGAAAAGGCACTTTCACATGCATATATGCTTCCGAACATTGACGTCATTTTCAGTCCAAAATCTCACAGGTTTGGGAATTTCTCCTTTGACAGTAATTTGACAAATTCAGGTCCCTTTTCTTGTCTGGCGATTGGGAGCATGTCTGCTTGAAGATCACATAACTCAAGTTGTAAGTTGGGTGGTTGATCATCAATGGTTGCTCCAAGAGGGTTATTATAAAGTAGTACACTGCTTTTGAGACTGTCAATTCCTTCAAATCTTGTATTGAATTCATCAATAACTTGTTCAATTTGTGAAATGCAGGATGAAAACTCAATATTTTCCTCACCGTTGAATCCTTCTGCTATTTGCAGACAGCTAGGGAAGTGTGTCAGGTTGTTCTTTTCCAAAGCACGTTTAAACACGTTCAACTTATTCTGAAACCGTCTGGTTTCTTCCTTCAAGACTCAAGTTTAACATGTTAAGATGATTAGTCAGATCTGTTTTAAAAGCTAACTGTCTTAAGAATTCTGGATCCTTAAACTTCTCTTCTAGTTCAGTTGTGTCAGATGAAACGTATTTATTGAGGAATGCAGAGATTTCCTTTCGCCTTACCTCAGTTAAAAACTTATCCATGATTTTGTATAAATTTATATATATATATATATATATATATATATATATATATATATATATATATTATATATATATATATATATATAACAGCACTACAGGCCCTAGAGTCCCTTGGCATTATTACATGCATATATTGCTATTGTACGAGAAGGGACACGGTGAAAATAATTATGGAAAATTGGTTCACAAATGGTAAAAGGTTGAGAAACGCTGCTTTAGACATTTGTAACTTTGTTATTGGTAATATGTAATTTAATAAAAAAACTAATGCGTTTCGCTGCGTATTTATGTGTTCCAATCAATGTTTATAATTTAGATTTGTCAAATTCAATTACTCTTTAATAGTTATAGTTAGCTAATAATGAAATTTTGTTTTAGAAAAAGGAGAAGATTGCTCATCTGCAGGTGAAGCTTGTGTTGAAGGATCATTTTGCATAAATGATAAATGCGAGTAACCGTAAAAATTTATTTTTGTAATAATTATTAGAAAAATTAATAAATTATTAGAAAGAATTCAGCAATAAATTAACTGTTAATTACCTGTGGTCTAAATAATTTCCTGTATTTCAAACATCATTACCATCATTATCCAGCTTTCTGCGTCCAAAGTTGAACATAGGCCTCCCATAATTTCTTCCAATTCTGTCGGTCTTGAGCTTCCTGCAGCAATTCCCAGCGATTTTTTTAAAGTCGTCTGTCCATCGTGTAGGTGGCCTTATCTTTGCTTCTTCTGTCAGCTCGTGGTCTCTACACTGTAGTTTTTTGGGATTACCACCCGTCATTAATTCTGGCTACAGGGCCCGCCCTGTTCCACTTCAGCCATACTATACTTTCTATGACATCTGTGACGTCTGTCTTTCTTCTTATTTCTTTGTTTCTAACTGTCTCTCGAGACAAGAGTCAGTACAAGTAGCGAGCGTTCCATTCGTCTTTGATCTATTCTGAGTTTGATTGCTGTAGCCTGGGTTAAGGGAAGTTTTTTGGCGCCGTAAGTCATGACTGAAAGCACACGTTGGTCGAACGTCTTCTTTTTCAAATAATTTGGCATGTTTCTCTTGAAGATGTCTGATAGATCTCCATATGCGGTCCATGCTAAAGTGATTCTTCTTTGCAGTTCAACAGTTTGGTTGTCCCTAACAATTTTACGTTACATTTTCTTCTAATATCTTCACTTCTCTTTCGATCTCTCAGCGTATTTCCTGTAATTCTTCAGTACTCTCATCTCTGCCGTTTCCAGTAGCCTTTGCGTTGTGGCTGTGTCGGGTCTTGTCTCCGAGGCATATGTCATTATTGGTCTTACACTGGCTTTATAAATTCTTTACTTTATCTCAGTGTTAATGTGTCTGTTTCGACATATAGTGTTATTAAGGCATCCTGACAGTCTATTTGCTTTTTGTACTTGATCTCTTTCTTCTTTGTCCAGGTCTCCATAGCTAGACAGTGTATTTCCTAGGTATTTTATTTCCATTACTTGTTCAATACTAATTCCATCAATTTGTACTTTGCATGTGGTTAGTTCTTTACTGACGACTATTGTTTCAATTTTAAAGAGTGTTCGAGAATGAGACAATATTGTTTCAAGATGAGATTGTCATATTAAATTATTTTGCTCTTATGTTAAATCTGTGGACCAATTTTTGCAGACTATCTTCATCTTGTGCTATCAATATTGCGTCGTCTGCGTAACAGAGTATTTTATTTCTTTGTTTCTCATTCTGTATCCTCTATCCTCTTCCTTTGTTAACGCTTTTGATGATTTCATCCATGATCAAATTGAAGAGCATGGGGCTCAATAAATCCCCTTGTCTTATTCCGTTCCCTATTTCTGTAGGTTCTGTAAATTGTCCATCTAGTCTGACTTCCATTTTGTTGTTTTGGTAGATGTTGTAATTTCCTGCTCTCTTGTGTTTAAAGACTTTACGTTCCAAGTACCGATGCGAAGTATATTTCTCGTTTTCCATAAATTCGTTGTCCTCTTTCTCGCGTTAATCGTCGTAATGAAATCATTCCTGTTCCGAGGAATAATCCTGTTTCTATGAGCTGTATGTTTCCTTCCCATTTCTGAGGCATATAAATTTTGTTACATAGACAGTATTGCGTAATTTTTAAGCAATATTTTTTATTCATCATTTAATATTATTCGAGTATCATAGTGGGGTTTATACAAAAATGCGTAGTTAGAAGCTTTAGATTTCTTTACGTATCGCGCTAACGTTTGATGTTTAATGCCATTTCTCTCGACTGCTATTGTGAGGCTAAATTTATGTTTTAATACATCATCTACAGAAGTTTTCAAAGCTTGTGTGCTAAACTAGCTCAGGCGTCATATCCGACAATCTGACTTGTCTAAAGCTAAGAAAATGGAGAAAGGTTCTCGAGTCAAATGTGGTAGTTGCGGACCTGTACTATTTGAGATTGGCCTTAATCGGTCACCATTGGGTAAATCATTCGATAAAGTACCATAACTCCTAGAGAAAAGATATTATATAATTAAGGAGGGAGGATAGAATTTTCAACGAGAATACTTCTTATTAAAAGATAAAAATGTATGTGTTAACCTGCGTGACCTAAAACTAAGGACTTGGATGAGGTTAATTTATATTTAAAAGAATGGTAATTGAGGAACCTGTTAGAAGCCATTGGTTTCCTATAACAACTTGCAGCCAAAGTATTATCTGCCCTCCTGAAGACTCACATATCATAAAAGAGATTGGTTGAGTCCTCTAGTCTAGTTCACAAGTGAACTGTAGATGAGAATCAAAACCATTGAACACTGACAGTGTGACCCAGGTCCTGTAGAGTTGTAATACTAGAATTAGGTCATACACATAGCATTTAATAAAATTGTTTTGGAAATTGTAGATAATATTGATCATTGAAAACGAAAACATTAGTATCAAAAATTAATTTTAATTTTTCTTAAACACAACCCAAGAAACAAGAGAGTTAGGTTAAATAGAACTTCAATGGTTATGTAAAAATCACTAAAATGTATGTACCTTTGGGATAACTGAAATTCATTGATGAATTCACTTAATTGGAAAGAATCCAAAATGTTATAATCATAAGATTTAAACAACATTGCTTGGCAATATTGATGGACAGTTGATAGCGGAAACAATAGGTCTCATGTTCAACTGCGGGTTATGTATTTTAGAAAGATAAAATCTCGATACAAAACCGTCATAATTATGTAATTATTTATCTAATGATTTATCTATGATATTAATATTTTTAAATGTGTTATATATTTACTGCGAACATCGAACAAAGATTGGAGGTAAGTTGCTAATAATAATATCATCTAATATAGATTGACTTAGACTGAGATATTGATCTCTCTCCATTAAAAGAATATCACTACCATTGTAGATTCAAAAGATTCAAGATTATCCATAATTATTTAATTCCTAAAAAATTGAATACTTATAAATAAAATAATAATATAATAATATCCTATTTCCACTGCAAAGGGTATGCAACCAAATATACTAAAAAATCAGCGTTTCATACAATTCCGTGAAATTGACGTTTGACTTTTAGAAATGTTCTGGCTGTTTGCTGTCAAACTAAGTAAGTAGACTTTTATTTTTACATCAAAACATGCGCAAACTCAGGTGTAAAAACCACCTGTATGATCCTAAAATAAAAATTACTTTCACATTCAGCAGCTAAGAGTAGAGTAGAGCCCCGAAGTCAATGACCATAGCAGAAATATGTTGCTTTTTACAGTTTTGTGTCAAGTCTGTAACCGTTGTATATCGTTGAGGAATGCCAGATCTTACAATACTTTTTATTTTCGACTTTAGCGGTGTAATTCCGTATAAACCTGTGTGATTTTTATTATTTTGTGACTGTAAATTGTATAAAATGAGTGTCAACGTTGCAGCAGAAGAAAAGATTCACCGAAAAATGCATGAATTGTTTATGCAAGTTTTAAAAAACCGGGATCTTTCCCGAGCCGGGGATCTTTTTTCTGTTCCTGATTCTGTTATAACTAATGATTTGTCCAATGTGGTAGGCATTTTTATATTTTTTGGTGGCGGTTGGCTTTTAAATATGCAAAAATCATGCATCAGTAATTCATTAACCTCTATTTGTTTATAATTAGATTCTGTTTCTTATTTTGTAAGAAATATTACTATGGGCTTACTGTACTTAAAATAGCTGAAGAGCTCTGTCTAACTATTCCTAAAATAAATGTATATAAGTACTAAAACGTATCAAAATAACTCTAGAAAATAGCTTCGTTTTAATTTTATCTTCTATGTATCTAAAATAAAATATACATTTGTTTCTTATTATACCTATTAGGTCTTGATATTACATGCTTGTAGAATATTTGGAAATATATTGTTTTGTGGGCAGATTCTTATAATTTCATGCACTATATTGTTTGTTGGCATGTTTCTGAAAATTTGATTTAAATGTGTAAAGTGTTAAGTACTAAATAATGTTGTTTCTCGTTGTAAGCATTGCAATGTACAATATTTTAATTAAATTCTTTGATACTTTGCCTTCAATATTTTTTGTCCAAAAATATTTTTGGCAGAGGTACTCAAAACAGAAATTTTAAAATATACCTTCATCTCTTCATTCAAAAAATAAATTAAATTAAACTACATATTTTTACTATATTCAAAAGTTGAATAATGAAATAGACAAACTAACATTTTCAATTCCGTGTGAATAAATAGTTTTTGTATTTTACATTGCCATCATTGCATTGTAAGTCCATAATGAGCTGCTTTTTGGATGTCCATATTATCACCCAATTTTTTTCCTCTCTCATTTTACTTATGTGGCTATTCCACTCTTTTTTCTGTCAATTATCTAGTTGCTTATATTGTCTTTGTTACATATTTGTCTGAGATCACTATTGCACTATTTGTAGTATGTTGTCCTGTGATATCTATGCATTTCACACATTTCTATTAATATTGTTGTTTTCTTGATATTGTTGTCTTGTTTCTGCAGTAAAGTTCATAACTAAGCTGATTACTTTTATATGTATTTAAGACATCCTGCTATTTTGTTTACTTATTTGTTAACCAATTTCTGCTTCTGTATCTTCATAGCTAACATCACCATTCCTATGTAGTTATAATTAGATGTAGTTACTTTGTTACCCATTGCCACGCTATATCTGATTGTATTTTTGGAGATTATCATATGTTTTGTTTTGTTTGTTAACAATTTCATATTAAATGTTCTAGCTGTTAGATTTAATTGATATAGAAACCTCTACAGATCATCTTCACCCTTTGCAAAAGGTACAATATCATCTGCAATACATTTAAGCAATAATTTCTTTACTCACATTATTGCCTATGCCTGTACTTCAAACCTTATTGATCATTTAATTCATAATGAGGTTAAAACAGAAGAAGGTTACTGAGTCTCTCAGCATATGGTCCTCTCGCCAGTACAGGCTCTGTTAGCTTGTTAATTTTAATGTGTATATTGTTTCTGCTATATATGCTTTCAATTGCTTAATAAATATCTGACAGTATGTTTTGCTCATGCAGCAAATGAGTTAGTTATGCTGTGATACATGATAAAATGCCTTTTGTAGATATATAAAACAACAGTGGTCAAGGATGATGTATTCGAATATTTTTTCCATGATTTAAGTATATCAAGACAAAGGACACATTATTAGAGAATCTTCCAGATCTAAAGCCTTATTGTTCATCAACTTACTCAATTTCAGTGGTAATTTTGTTGGTTATGATTTTTGTGGTCAGTTTCCGAACAGTTTTAAGTAAGTTGCTAAGTAACATTCAATATTTACTTGCTTTAAACAATTCAGTGTACTATGTAGTCCTGGTGCTGATGTCAATTTTATATTCTTATTTCTTTTTTCTGTGTTTTAATAAATCTTCATAATATGTGCTTTGGTAGTTAGTAGAAGTTAGCTTCCATTCTTCAAGAGAAAACTTAACAGTGTTCGTCTTTTTATTTTCCTTGCTAATGCTTTAGTTTCTTTTTTTGTAGTTATTGTAACTTTCCACTGTTTATTGTGATAGTAGATGTGATATATTTTAACTAGGCTTCTCCTTTTTCCTTGCTTTTTATGTTGATTTCCTCTCAGAACTAAGGTATTTTCATGTGATTCATTTTCTTGTGATTTATGGGTACTAATATGGTGCTGAAAATATTTTTTGTGACATTTCTTTTATATTAACTGTTATATTTTATGCAAATAAATAACAACTGTAATTAGAAATACTTGTATTTATATTTTATACTCTATATTTGAAATTTTTTTATATTTAGATTTTCACCTCTGAACTCATTTTTAAAATGTATGTTTAGTGTTCTGGTTCTTAGCACATTACATACTGCTGACATTAGTTAGTTTCTAGTTTGTTCCGTACTATTTCTATTTCGGATATTAATCGATTCTGATTAACATTGTTGGTTGATGTTTTCCACATATTTTCAGTGAATATGTTTACTTTTTTATGTTACCAAAAAGTTTATATAGTTCAAAATTATATTCCATTTTCTGGAGACCCTCGACTCTGCCATATATATGGCAATCAATACTTTTCTTTTAAAGATTCGCAGTGGCTCTTAACCTCGCTTAGACATTGCCCATGTTTTCAATCTGTAAGAGAGCATTAGGCATATTATATTTGTATAAAGTGGCATTTTGTTGCTCTTTATATTGGTACTCCCTCTTAATACTTACACTCACAGGCAAGATTGAGGGTAGGAAAGGTCTGGTATACTGTCAAAGATTCTGGGTCCATTTTCTGGCTGGCTGAGGAGGGAAACCTTAGAATAGTTGATGAAGACAGTGACTGAAACACCTACACACTGCTAAGCATATAGCACAACAAGAAGAAGATTGATCATAGCCAAATATAATTTGGACCTGTTAATCGCCTTCAGTTCACAATGATGATATAGGGGGATTCTTTGTCACATGAATGATATTGATTAGTGATCAAATGCCTCTTGGAAAAATCTTTTAAAGTTGGAGCAGTCTAGAGCACATTAGTTTGTTTTTTGGGTATATAATTCTTATATTCAAATTCCTCAAGTAGCTGTCAGTAGATTATGAAATGCTTCATAAGCAACTTTTGTCTCTTTTGTCCTTTTTTTAAGTTCTTTTGTTGTTGAATCCCATAACAATTCAATTTTTATTTTTTACTTAAGCCACTGATTTTGTGTTCTTCTATGGTCGGAATTTTATATATATATTTTTTTATCACTATCTATGTCACATGAGTTTAATGCTATATCTTTATAATATTAGCCCAGACGGAAAGGTTGGCTGTAGTTAGTCTGGATTTAGACTTTTGTAGACATGTCCCTGCCTAGACAAGTGTCTTATAACTAGAATTTGAATATGTTTGAAGTGAAAAGTTAAGAAGGAAAACACTATTCAAAGATTATGTAGAAAATTAGGAGATTTTTAGAACAAAATATAGACGTGACAGACCCCTATTTTTTAACAGTTTATCATGAGTATATATTTCTATAAAAATGTATGGAAATAAAATTGTTTACAAATAAAGTTTCTATGAAAATGTATGTGCGCAATTGGTAAAAAAAATTTCAACGAAGAGAAACTTGTAAAACTCTATAAAATTTCTGAAAATTTGGTACGAACATTTAAGTAGAATTATTCACCAAAAGAGTGGCGTAAAGAAAAATTCTTTATGCGTTGCCTAATAAATTTGCAATCTACCTGTAGAGAAAATTCGAAATTTTCAAAACTTTCCTGGATGAAAAATTGTCTGTTTTGTTAAACAGATGTTTTTATGTATAGACGGGCAAACTAGCTTTCAAATTCACTTTAATAAATTAAAGTCTAATAGAGTAAAGTGGGGTTAAAGGCTTGTTTGCTCTTATGTGATAAAAAATCAGTGATTTATATCACAAAGACTTTTACGGGCAGGACGCTTAATTCTAAAAGTATGCAAATACTAAGTTTTTTCAGTGTTAACTGCGTATTAAACGATTTATGTTCCTTGTAGCGAAGCGATTCTTAAATATCTTTCTTTTTTCCATATCGTAATCCCATTTCTCGATTATGTTATCCATACTATTCCTAGTCACTAAGGATTCTGTTATACCAGCGCTAATGTCATCGTGTTAGTGTCGGTCCAACCGAACAATGGCACTACCAGGGAGTAAATTATTACATATATAATTCACATGTTAGTGAACGACATTGTTCGTTATAATTGACTCCACAGTAGTGCCATTTTCAGGTCGGACCGACGCTAACGCGACGACATTAGCACTCTTATAAGGAGTCCTCAATTAGGGAGGCAGATTACAATATGGTGTTTTTTAATTGCAGTAATATTTAAAACATTTGTTATTCTCCTTCGTAAGGATGTAGTGGCGTCATGTAATTTGTTTGACAATTCCTGTCCAATTATCTCTCCTGTGCGTGTTGTTTTGCTTCGGAGAATGAGTAACCAGTCAACTCCTTTATTTGGTCCGACCATCGTACTGGTCGTACTGGAGATCTTCCTCTGGATCTTTTACTCGCTACGTTACCTTCAACTATCATTCACGCCGTGCCTTCTCGTCTTCTAGTTATATATCCATTATATTAATATCTCAGTATATTTTGGTTGATAGTTGTGATAAGTCTAGTTTTTATGTTAAGTTCTGCTAGAATTGAGTTATTTGTGCGATGGCGTCCATGGTATGCGCAACATTTACGTGACCACATTTCAAATGCCATATACGCTTTGAATCGCTTTTTTTATTGTTTAAGTTTCTGAAGCATAGGTGGCGATAGGAAATATCAATGCTCGAACAAGGCGTAATTTTGTGTTTTTTGTGATGTCAGTGTTTCTTCCAAATTTTTGTGAGTTTGGCTGTTGCCGATCTGGCCATTGTAATCCGTCGACGGATCTCGTCTTCGCATCCTCCACTGTTAGTAATAACGGAGAGCCTAAGTAATTAAATTGCCTGACCACTTCGTAACCTGCCATTTATCGCATGTTTCTTATCTCTGCTTGGTTGTTTCTGATTCTATCGATGAT